TGCAATGCTGTCTGCTCACCAGGTGTGGTCCCTGGTCCCCAGCACCAGGGGTGAACTGATCGTAGGAGGCAAAATTTAAGGTTGCTTTTTAAATTAAAAAAAAAAAAAATGTAGTGGGGAGCTGGAGAGATGGCTCAGGGGTATGAGAACTGGCTGTTCTTCCAGAGGACCTCGGTTCAATTTTCAGCAGCCACATGGTGGCTCACAACCTCAGTAATTCCAGTTCCAGGGCCCAACACCCTCTTCTGGCCTTTGAGGGCACTGCAGCACATGCTGCATACATGCATGCATGCATACATACATACATACATACATACATACATACATACATAAAAAATTATTATTTTAGGTAAGGTCTCACTGTGTAGTTCTCAATCCTCCTGTCTCAGCTTCCTGACTGCAGGGATTACAGGCATTCGCCAACACACCTGGCAAAGTCTAAGTCTTTCCAAGGCTTTCTGGTGATTCTGGAGCACCTGAAGTTTCAAAACCACCAGCTTCCACACTGCCCCATGTGGGTACAAAACATACAACTCTCATCTCAAAGTGGATAAGAGATCATTTATTCTGGAGCCTAATAAGATTGACAATGGCTTGGGAACATGGATCTAGGTTACCCCAAATAGTGTGTTCCTGTTGGGGATGTCCTTCTGTATGCTGTGAATATATGTTGTTCCTGTTGGTTAATAAATAAGCTGCTTTGGCCTACGGCAAGGCAGCTTAGAGGCAGGCAGGAAATCTAGGGAGAGAGACAGGAAAGAGAAAGGCGGAGTGGGGGAGACACCAGCCTGCCATCCTAGAGGTAACATGTCATGGGGTGCAGGTGAAGGCATGGAACACGTGGCAATACTTAGATTAGTAGTTATGGGTAGTATGAATTAAACTATAAGAGCTAGCTAGCAAGAAGCCTGCCATGGCCATACAGTTTGTAAATAATATAAGCCTCTGTGTGTTTGCTTGGGACCAAGTGACTGCCGGACACGGGTAGGAGAGATTCATCTCAACTACAGGGCTGGG